AAAGGAAAATCCATCTGCCAGTTCTGTTTACCTAGTGTACCTAAGTCTTTTGTTTGAACAAAAGAGAAATCCATCTGCTAGTTCTGTTTCCTAAAATCTGAAACAGGGACTCTACAAGAAGTACATCTTGTGAAAATATCAGTAACACATTGTTTTTACAAGTCATTTTTTTTTTCTCCTTTTCCCTTCCCACCACCAAGAAACCAGAGCTCTGAAAAAATAGTTAGTCCTGGACCCTGGTGAAATATTCTGATCCCTTTTAGAAAGTGATGATTTTGCTTTTTCCCTGAAAGTCTATTTCTTGTACACTAAGAAAGACACAAAAGCTGAGAAAATCCACTCTGGCCAAGCAGGGGCTGATTATCCAGGCCTGTAGCCACACAGAGGATTTTTACTGGTTGGGGTAAGCAGCTGTTTATAGTCCAGACCTCTCACTGTATAGACGAGAGACAGCAGGTGTGAGCGGAGATGTGTGCTTGTTAGTGTCGAATGCCTGCCTCCAGACCATCAGCAATTCTTTCTTAATCCCTTCCTGTGCTTGGTCTTCTGTTTCTTCCATATACTCTTCTGCTCTGACTACTCTATGTTCTGCTTCAACTGGAGGAGGATGTGAAGAAAAGGCATGACTCCAAATGCCTCCTGTGAGTCCTGTGATTAGCCCTGGCTGAAGAATAAGTGTTTGAAATCCATCCCATGGCTTCTGTGAGTTATTTTTTCTATGATTAAGGCCCCACTATCTCTAATACTCTGCATCCATTTTATATACAGACACACATGTTAACATCCATATATATATGTGTGTATATATATATATATATATATATATGTCTGTATAGACATATACAAATGTATCTCCTACCTCATGTCAAAATAAATGTGGTTTATTGATGAGCTATTTAAATTCCATTGATCTTTTGAAGGACGGCAAGTGAAAAACAACCACAAATCTAATTTACTCTGAATCAGTTTGACTTGCTAGATACAATAGTATGTTCCCTTCACATCCTACTTTTCAGAGGCTTTGCACTATTACGCTGCTGGAAAGCACCATCTTCCAGACCAGAGGGGATCAGGGTGAGCCACAGAAGGATACGTGTCAGGGTGTGCGTGCCACATGGTGGGGGATTTGAACAATTTACCCCAACTCACTCTACTCTTTTCCTGGTGACACAGAACAGCTTGTGAAACAAGTGTCTGGAGAAGGAGGCCATCCAGAGGCCACAAGTGGCCAGGACTCAGCCCAGTTTGGCCTTCATTGTGTTCCAAAGGTAGTTATACTGCAAAGGTATCCTTCCCTCTACTGGCAAATCTGTGGTGGGAGTAAGGGCCCCTTCCCTCTATTCTTCTGGCTTAAATAGGTCTGTGCAGTCTTACCAACCTGAAGATCTAATAAGCGACTTAGCCAAGATCCAGGTTTTTCGGGCACTTTCACCACCATAAGATTCTGTCTAGTTCTACATTAAGGAGAAAAAAGTAATCCCCATCTGTCATCCAGGAAAAGTTAATTTTGATTATGGGAGAAAGATTCTCCTACAATGATATGCTGACAAAGTACCAATTTCTAGTGTTGTGGCTTCTCGCTTCCTGCCAGAACACCTTTAGCATGTCACAGTTCTTTCTCACACACTTAGAAGTCTTCCTGTGCATAGTAATTCTCATCCCCATATGGATGTTGCTATGCCCAGACATTGGGGATATTCAGCCGAACAATAATTGTCTCCATATTACTGAAATGTTGTGTAAAGTCATGCCTGCCCATCCTAACTCTTCCTGCATCTTTTCTGTCACCTGCAGTATTATGGGCTAGGGAAAGACAAGTGTCAGCCCCTTTGCATCTAAGAGGTCTCTAAAAGTCCACAGTAGAACGATTTTCAGTAGTTGTTTAGGCATGGTAGAGGGGTGATGAAATTCACTGAAGCAACGCTCGGTTTCATAATGTCCTGACAATGATCATATCCTTGGTCCTGAACTGAACTTCCTCAGGAAGCACATGGCCTGGCCGGCCTGCCGAGGTAGACAGTGTAGGGACCAGCCCGACAAGACTTGTGTGAGTCAGTTGACCGAGGCCAAGGGATACCACGGGCCAGCCCTGACTCATAGGAACAGCTGTGACTCCAGCACACCTTGTCCATGCCTGGAATGCCCCAGAACAGTCTCTTGTTGATGCCATAGACATTCTAATCCCAGCAATGCCATTTGGGGTTTGGTTCTTTCCTTACTAAAGCATCTTCCCGAATAAAAGGAGAGTGTCCAACTTTGTTTGTGGCATTGATAAAGCAACCACAGCAACTGGGGACCCAAACCACACTTGTTGCTAACCACTGGGTGTAACACAGAGTGGTACAGGACAGCGGGAAGACTTAGGAGGGGAATGGTGAGGCAAGCCCAAGAGAGACTTTGGAAAACTAACGTGCGTGGAATGAGAACACTTCATTTTGAAAATATAAAGTCTAACCAAAGAAAGCATTGGAAATTCAATTCAATTTAATACATGATTCTATATTAAATGTGGCACAGAATTTTGGCGGGCTGACAAACCTAGTGTTTACTCCACTTTCCCTCATCTTTGCATAGCATAGCATGTAAATTTCCATCTTCAACTTTAAAAGGATAAGTTGCCTGTGAATATTATCTAGCAATGTAAATAATAGATAATCGCAAGATTTGAGAAATCCTCGTGTCAGTAAGTAATCCACTTTAATACTAATCCATTGGTCCTATAATGGGCACTCTAACCTTTTGACTATTAGTCTGTAAACTTTAGCTACTGCTGAGAATATCCTTTGTCCTGCCTGATAAACTGACAAATGACAAACAACATTTTGTCTCATCTAACGGAGCCTCTCTCTGTCTTGGGGAAATGTTCACATGGAGACAATAAAGCACGGTGCTGTGAAGGAAATAAAAAGTCAGATTTAGGAGAAGTATTCTCCTAATTGTCTAGTTCAGTAACTTTTAAATGGACATATCTGAACTCTCAAGGGACTTTTGCATGAATCCCGAGAAAGGAGGACCAGAGGCAACAAAAAATTTACTAAAAAATAAAGTCCACTAGTCACGGGTGTATGAATACATGAATATATATCATACAAGTATATTATAAATTGAAATAAATTACCAAGAATTTTTTCAAAAGCACTAAATATACAACACAATACACACACACACACACACACACATACACACACCTGTGATAAAACCAAATCCAAGGTAAGAGCATTTCTCATTTCTGCATTAAAACATTCAAATTTCTAGGCCCTTCTCGGTGGTGCAGAGGGTTAAAGCACAGCACTAAGAAGCTAAAGACACATCAGCATAAGTTCGATCACCAGCCCAGAGGTGACCACATGGCACAGCAGACCTCTCCTGACCCACCCGCTGCTCCCCTCCACAGTGTACTACATCAATCTGCCTGTTCTGCTCCCCACTCTGTCTCTGGTGAATCCTCTCACTGCCCCTGCACCTCTGGCTTGTACCCCAGTTCTGTATATATATAAATAAATAAACTTTAAAAAAATGCAAGCTTCCCATATTGTATTAGCAGTAAACTATTGCTCTTATAGAGCTGCTTTATTGACAAAGACTTGATAGGTTAGAAAAAGCAAGAAATGAAAAGAAACAAATATTAACATATTTCAATAAAGAGCTGTTCTTCCTGGGAAGACCATGGAAAAATATTCGTCTTAACTAGAGCTCTGAATGAAACCAAGGTGAATCCAATTTGGAGGAGAAAAAATATTGGCTAAAGAAAATCCTCAGTTGCAAGACATATAAGAAGCTTGGTTTAATGGAAACAAGACTGAAAGAAGAGAGAATATAAATTATGAGAGTTAAGTGAAAGGAGACAGTATGTGGAAGGCTGTCCAGTGGGTTATTCTGCTTACATTTACTATCCAGACAGACGGTCAGCAGCTTGAGAGCTAACTGAAGACTGGGGTAAGAGGGGAGAGCTGAGCATGGGGTTTTCTGTGGTATGGTAAAAATGTTCTGAGTAGAGTAGTGATACTTGCTCAGTCTGTAAAAGCACACTACCTTATATACATTAAAGGGGTAAATTTTGTGTTATGTGAATTATATCTCAGTTTCTTAAGTTATTTTAAAAATGATGAAGTCAAATGGTTAAATGCATCTGACCCTTGAAAAAGACTGTGCACCAACCTGATCAATTATTTTGCTGTTGGCGTGATGATCATTTTAGCAGAAATCAGAAAGACAAACTGTAAAACTCATTAAAATAAGCAGGTTTGGGGCCCTCCCTCGTGGCGCAGTGGGTTAAAGCACAACACTAAGAAGCTGAAAGCCACTTCCATATGAGTTCGATCCCTGCCTGCCCTGGAGGTGACCACATGGCGCCGCAGACCTCTCCTGACCCGCCCGCTGCTCCCCTCTGCAGTGTACTTCATTGATCTGCCTGTTCTGCTCTGCATTCTGTCTCTGGTGAATCCTCTCACCCTCCCCATCTATGTCCTGTACCCCAGTTCTGTATGAAAAAATAAAAATAAAATATAAAAAAATAAAAGAAAATAAGCAGGTTTTACAAAGAAGAAATGTGTTTAGATAATGCAAATGAACCACAACTAAGAAAAGTGAATGACAATGGAGAAAAATATGTTTTTATTATAATAAGTAAACTAAATGGGCTTGTAATATCACCATGGGGCCCTTTTCTGAAATGGGCGCAGAATGTTCACCTACATCCTGGTGTTACAGAGAGACATGTTATGACCCTGACTTCACAGACAGCAAACTTAATAGGGTAAAAGATATTAAAAAGCTCTTGTAGCCCACTTTTCCTATCTAGTGTCCTCATTCATTTAATGCAGATACAATGAGCAAAGACTGACATGCTAATTAAGTGTCAGCACCTAGAAAATGGAAAATCCCTGAGCAAGTGTCTAACACCTAGTTAGCACTAGGCGTTATTGCATTATTCTTACTAGAATCCTGCACCTGAACTGGAAGTGAAAAATATGAAAATATGGCGAAACCCCTGTACATACCTGCAGCAATATAGGAGCCTCCTCCGACTTTATAGAGAAGATGGCTGGCAAAGGGGGCGGCACAGATGATCAAAAAACTTGCAGTCACCACAGCTACTACTCCCAGAAGCATTAGGACAGCCCAGAAACCACGGTATACTGGACACCCCAGGAGAGAAAGAGGAGAGATTGTAAGCATGCAGACAGTCACAGACAGTAAGTGTATTTTCTCTTCTTTGTTAACATTTCAGTCAGAGCATGTCATGATTCCAGGATCAGGTACTGAATTATTTCTAAAGGAGACTTAACCAGATGACGTTGGACTCTATGATGTTGGCCTTCAACCAATAGGCATTCAGCATTTGTAACTTGTATATTACATATAACTTCGTCATATACTTTGGGAGCTCATTTTTCCAACCATATTTTTCCACCTTAGAAAAGGGAACCCACAGAGTTCTAGAAATAGATTTTTTTAGTAAATGCCCAGTTGGGTTACTTTTAGATGTTTCATGTCATTGTACAAAAACAAGCTCTTTCTTACTTACATGCCTGTTACTTACTGCTACGGTAATGACTATACCACGGCTAGTCTTACATGTTGATAATAATGATGGCAACTATTTAGCAAAGTGAACACTGCAGTGCAGTGTACATATGACTCTTTTGGAAAGTACACATAAGGTAATAAAAATAGTGAGTAAAATATAAAAATGTACAAATGGATATTTTAAATCCAATAGGGTATAGGCATGCAACTTCTAATTAATTATTTATCATTAAAATAATCCAAGGTCCCTCCCTTGTGACACAGTGGATTAAAGCACAGTACTAAGAATCTAAAGTCACTTCAGCATGAGTGACTCACATAGATCGGCAGATCTCTCCTGACCCGCCAGCTGCTCCCCTCAGCAGTGTACTTCATCAGTCGGCCTGTTCTTATCCCCACTCTGTCTCTGGTGAATCCTCTCACTGCCCCTCAATTCTAGCCTGTCACCCAGTTCTGCATGCATGAATAAATAAATCTTTAAAAAATAATAATTATTATTATTCAAAATAAGAAGCTATCTCACACTTTTTATAAGGACCAGAAAGTCTTATTTAATGGATATAGTTATTGATAAATGGATAATGCAGTTGATGATATACAGTAATCAGATAATTTTTTTTAAAGATTTCTTTATTTGTGCATACAGAACTGCGGTACAGGCCAGAAGTGAAGGGGCAGTGAGAAGATTCACCAAAGACAGAGTGGGGAGCAGAATAAGCAGATTGAGGAAGTACACTGCTGAGGGGAGCAGCAGGTGGGACAGGAAAGGTCTGCCTTATCATGTGGGTCAGCTCCAGGCCAGGGGATTGATCAGCTCTGAAGCAGCTGCGGCTTGTTTGCAATGCTGCGCTCTAACCCGTTGTCCCCCCAACCCCCCGTGAGGGCTCCAGATAAAGAATTTTAATGAATGATCATTAAAAGTAAAGAATGGAAGTAAGGAAAGTAAAGAATGATTTTTATTTTCAACAAGCCCACCTGTCAAAATATATGTCAACCAACTAGAATCGTCAAAAGAGAAAAAAATGGATGGGAAGATAGAAATTTGACTTAAGGAATCACTGTCGATAAATGAAAAATTAATAATACAATTCCAAAGTCTTGAAGAAAGGGGTTAAAGGTCTTTTGCTACATATGCCAGTACCATTCATTGGGCAGGAGCTTCCAGGTGCTAGGAAAGTGGCCTGTGATTGTACTCATCCCACACTGAGAGCAGAGCAGGCAAGAAGCACTGATCCTTGTGTGTGTGACAAGTCAGAGTGCAGACCGTGCACTAAATATTTGCCATCCTGTCCTACCAGAGGTTACTAGATACTGACATTCTTACACTTTCTATATTCGTTCCCTTTATGTTTTTATTTAAGCCACAACAACATTTGCGGCAAGCCTAGTGGAAAAACCATAAAAAGTGCAGGCAGCAAAACAACACAAAACAGCAATGCCATTCATCTGGCTGGAGAAGAGGAAGGGGCCCTTGCAGGCCAGAGTATGTGGGAAATCCCTGGTTTATTTTTTCTTTTTATTCCCACAGTCCTGCCTCCAGGCCATCTTCAGGCTCTGTACCACTCCCAAGTTCAACATGGGCATTTAAGATTCCAAAATATGAGCCAACCCTTTGGCTTGAAGAATTAGAATAAAAGATCCCCATTGCTCAATGAACAGGGGACTCTCTACCCTGGCAACTTTGTACTGTGGCACAATTGCCTGTAATTGTGCTGAAACCCTGAAAGAGCCCTATCCTTCTGGCCAGAGAAACTGGGCAAAATGCTCATAGAAAGCAAAGAAGTGAGGGAAACCTCATGGATAAGAGAGAGATGGAGAAGAGAATCGATAGTTCTCTCTCTGAGTCTACAAAGCAAGAGTCTGCTCTCTGAGCAATCCCTGAGTATTATGTGCCTATGGCAGACCCAAGTAGCATAGCAAAGACTCTGAAACTTAAATGGCGTTGAAATTACTACTCCAGAAGGAAAAGACAACATGGAGCTGATCGCCTATTCAAATAACAAATAACATATTAGAGAATTTTAAAACAATCCAGTACAACAGTGTAATACTGAAAATGTCCAGAAATATAACCCAGCATTGTTTAATATGGCAACAACAATGAAAATATGACCAGTATGACCAGTTCTCAAAGAAACAGAAATCAGCAGACACCAACATAAAAATAATTCAAATGCATGAATTATCAGAAGGACTTCAAGGTAGTTATTAAACTCCTTTTCTATGAACACTCTCAGGAGAGAAATAGAGTCTATAAAAATAACTAAATAAAAGTTTCAGAATTAAGAAATATAATAATTGCAATTTAAAACTAGTGAATATGTGCAATAGCAGAATGGAATAAAAGAGGAAAGAAGACATAGCAATAGAAATTATCCAATTTCACCATCAGAATGAAAGTAATTTGGAAAAAAAAAAACAGCTATAGAATCTCAGAGATGAAGGGGACAATATCAAGATTTGTGTATGGTGTCCCTAAAATGGTGGCAAAAGATATTAGTACAAAAAGAACATTCATAAAAGTATCTCTGAAACTTCCCAAATTTGGTGACTGCATAATTTACAGGTGTAGGAATTTGAACAAATACCAGAGAGATTTAACTCAAAAAATCAGTTCAAACACAAAACAATAAAATCATAGTCTTGAAAGCAACTATTGGGGGGATGACGTATTACTGATTGGGACAGCACACCCCAGGATTACATGTTTCTCATCAGATATTACTGAGCTCAGAAGATAGTGGAAACCACCTTTTTAAGGTTCCAAAAGAAAAGACCTAGCAACCTAAAATTCTGCTTTCAATGAAAATATCTTGAGGAATGAAAGTGAAAAAAGACGTTACTCAAAGAGGAAAACAATTTGCCACCAGCAGAGCTGATTTACAAATAAATGCTAATGAACTTCTTTAGGTGATAGAAAAATGACATCAAAACTCACTTGAAACTTTAGGAATGAGGGTAAAAAAAGAAGAAATGGCAAATAGCTATGCAAATATAGTAGACTACTTTTCTCATCTTTCTTAAAAATATCTTTGACTATTATTAAAATGCTCATGCAATTGAGTAAAAAAAATTGTTAGTTTCAGAATTAAAGTGAACTATGTAATCTTACACTAGTTATTTAAGTTTTCTGAGCCTCTATAACATTTCTGAAAAGGAGAAACGTTTGGTATATATATCCTTTACAACTATCAGATGAATAATTAATAATGTATGTGATGTGTGTGGCATATAGTAAAAGAACAAAGAATGACATTTATTTTGTTGTTGCATTTATTGCTGTTATTCTTAAAATTGCATCAATAATACACAGCAGGTGGCATTGTGCTCCTTAATAGGAAAGTGAATTACTTCTCTGAGAGAGCCTTGCACACTGTTTTTTATGTACCACTAATATTTGGAAACACTTTAGATTACAGCTTCAAGAGCAGTACAGATGTTGTATTTGGGGAAAAAAGACTGCCAATATAGAACATTTTACAAAGTTTTCATTTTATCTTCTACAGGAAGTTTTCTGTCTACAAGCCTCTAATAAGGCACCGGCCATGTTTTACACCAGGTGTCTCTACCATAAATACCCAAAATGTAGACCATAGGGCCAGGTACCTGGCACAAAGACAACCCAAACAGGGTGATCTCTAAGCCGAGCCTTATGACTCACATTTTGAAAAGATGTATTGGACTAATCTGTGAAATCCCTTGAGAACTAGAAAACTGGAAAAGTGAGGGGATTAGTAGCAGAAGTGCAGCTCAAGAGAAGCATTTGAAGCTGGATTCAGAAGAGGCTTGGTGTTCCAAGGTCAATCGCAAGCAAGAGGCCAAGGCGTATAAATCAAGCCATCTAGAGGGAAGAAAAGCAGGGTGGCCTCCCATAGAGAGAAGCAGAAGGACTGTAGGAAAGGGAAAAAGGGCTTGGTGAGGGGGAGAGAGGAAAAGAGTCAGACAGAAATGGAAAATAAATGATCTGAAGAGCTGCTGTTGTTCCTGACAACTGCTACGTACTGTCCCTCCATTGGCTCAAGCAAAGCAGCTTGGCTTTGATTCTGAGACCCATGTGAAATGCAGGAGTAACAGATTTGTACTAAAGGGAAGAGGAACCTGGCTGCCTAGAGAGTTGTGACCATATAGAAATAGCAAGAAGTGAGATTCCATACTGCCGTCACCACGTGCTTTATTTTTCTGCCTATGTTCGACATTCAAAAGTGCATAACTTCAAGCTTATTTCAAAATTTCTTGGAACTTCCAGTTTCTTAGCTAATTATATTACCTAGTTTACATATGCAACACATTTTGATTCCAAATTTAAAATGTTCAGTTCTCGTAAAGAATCATCTTATGGAAGTGAGTAGAGTTCTTCTACTCTCTGAAGTAAAACGAAGGCAATCAGAATGAAGTGAAAAGTGAGAGTGTTTTAAGGATCCCACAAGTTCGCAGGGGACCTCAGCTTACTAAAGGTGTAACGGACAAACCTCAATTTTCTAATATGGAAAACAATATTCTTCCTATAATTTTATACTATTGGACTGAGAAAATATGAAAATAATAAGTACATTATTATATTATTATTCAGGTATATTTAGTAGTAGTAGAATATACTTTGTCTAAAAAA